ACTAACTGGAGTCCTTTCATTTAGTATATTTAGTTGCTCACGTGATCTGTTACTGATAAAACCTGTAAAGCTTGAAAAGATAACCTCAAAAATCTTCACACTCTAATTAGAATCTAAAGTCCAGGAGGAGGTCAAGTAACTTGTTTGGGATTATCTGGCTAAGCAATTGCAGACTCAAGATCAGGGCCAAGCCTTCTAAATTCATAGGTTAGTGGTCTTTCCATTATGCTGCAGTCACTGTGGAGCTAGTTGACCAACAATTGGGTCCTTCATTTGTCAAAAAAAGTACAATGTGTCAGCATATCTGTAGAAAAACAAACATTTGAAGTGTTTTAGTTTGACTACCTTATATGGGAAATATTTTTTATTTAAAACTTAATATTGAGACAAGCATGTAGTATATTACTGAACAGTAAAATTCAACTCAGTGTATGTGCTCTGTTAGAAAAAAGTCCGTAAGTTAAAAGACTATGTCTACATAATCTTAAATTTTGAAATAAAATAATTAACATTTTTAGCTTTCACACTAATCTTCGCATATGCAGTATTATACTTAAATGACAACAGTATATTATATTTGAAAGCTTATTTTCTGTTTTCCTGGGTATGATTTTTATATTCATTAAGTGGTGATTATTCAAATATTATTAAGCCAATTATTAAGCAAATCTCATTTTATATGACAAGTATAGTCATTCAAGTTTTTTATCTAAGCCAACTTAATTTATGCTAGTTTCTTTTATTCTATTATTTATGCTAATTTTTTAAAGAAGGAGATATTAAATTTAGAATTACACAAAGCTCCTTTAAATGGGAAAAAAATATTGGTTTAGCAACAGTGTATTTTGGACTCAATGAGAAAGTATCTGGTTTGGAAAACATGTTCTGCTTCAGGACTCAAGACTTGGCTGCTCAAGCTGGCTGACCCTCAGAAGTAAATGTCAGTTGCATTCAGCCTTCAGATTTTCAGACTGCAGTTTCCTATTTTAACTTCTGTTTAGAAATAAACTTAAATTTTTTTTTCTCTGTAGTTATATAAAACTGGAATTTGTTATATAGACACCAGTTACCATCAGTAATATTTTAAAATGTCATTTACAGTTTTGCAATTTTGGATATATTTGAGTTACTGAAAAGTCAATTTTGTATGTTTGCCTCCTTTTTAGATGTATAACAATATTAGGATTTGGGGTTGTTAATATATATTATGTTCTTTTAGATCTGTTCAAATCTTTTAAACAATGCAATTCATAGTTTAGATTGTTTTAAGTTAGGTTTAGTACTAGAATGTTAATAGAATAGATTCAAGTTGTATAAGAATTATACAAATATTAGATTCATGAAAGTAGTAGGACAAAATTTACAAATGAATTCCTCATTGACAAACTTGATTTGTTTTATGTAATGATTAATTACTTTTTCTACTACTTTTATACACATTTATATTTATTACACATAAATAATACAGAAGCCCCCGAGTTATGAACAGAATAGGTTCAGAAAAACTTGGACGAATCCAAAATGATCCTTCATAAGTGAATGCTAATACTTTCATTTGATGTCAGGCACAGTTGGCTGCTTTGGATCTGGCGTGTAGCTTTCTTCACATCTATGAAAGTTTTTAAGTTAAGTTTATTAGAAGGGGCTCTTCTGTATATTTAAAGTGTTGGGTTTTTTTTTTCTTTTTGTAAATCAATTCTTTCATGTTTTCTTTGAATTTGGGCCTATGGACCTACAGTATGGAAAAAATAAAACTCCACGCAGTATTATGTAAGAAGACACTTTGTTTTCTTCATTTCAGCTGTATAAAGTTGCAGCAATCCATAGGATTAGAACCTAAAGGAAAATTTTTAGTATACAGGTAAAACTTGAAAATAATGCATGGCTTTAATTCTGTATTCTTTAGCTTACTGATTTCATACTAAACAATCAGCTTTATCCCTGATGAAGGATAGAAAATGCTAGTAGTCACTAAAATCTCTTTGAACTTTCTGCAGGATTACTTTTTTGGAGTACTAAAATGATTAGGATTCTAAAATATGCTAGTCAGAGCAAATTTAGTTCAGATTGAATGCATTTACTTTCTCAGTAGTTAATTTTCATTTTATATAGTAGAACAGTAAGTATATTTCCAAAAAGTATGTAAATCAGATAATTTTCGTACTGACTTACATTGTGATTTTAGAGTTGCTTTTTTACAATTGGCATCAGTTGAACAATTTTTTTTTTTTTCTGATTAGGCTTCTTCTACCCTCAAGTTATGAATGAAGCGTAAATAAGAGAGCACATTTAGAAAGCAAACAATATTTTGTATTTGAGAAAGCTCAAATGTATGTTTTATAGAGTCAGATCTTATTAATAGCTTTCTGTGGGTGGGGAGAAAGAGAGCACTTTGTGAGATAAAAACTATTCATGTAGACGCACAGCTAGTGGTTTTTCTCGGCCATCATGGATACCTAACCAGTGTTCACCATAAAACAAGTAATACATACATAAAATATCCAAACAGTACCAAGGCTGTACAATAAAAAGAAGTCACTTTTCTACCTCAGACCTGGCCCCTGATTTCCCCATCAGAGGTAATCCCTATTTTTAGTCTCTTCTATTTGCTTGGAGTATTTCTGGAATGATAAGTATACACATACCTCTTTTATGCAAATTAAAACACTTTATATACTCTTCTACTTTCATTTTCATTTAATATATCTGAGTTCTATGTGGAAGAAGTACTTAAAAAATAGTTTGTAGGGCTGGCCCAGTAGTGTAGTGGTTAAGTTCACGTGCTCCACTTTGGCAGCCCAGGTTCACCCATTCGAATCCCAGTCACAGACCTACACACTGCTTGTCAAGCCATGCTGTGGCAGGCGTCCCACATATAGAGTAGAGGAAGATGGACATGGATGTTAGCTCAGGGCCAATCTTTCTCAGCAAGAAGAGAAGGATTGGTGGCAGATGTTAGCTCAGAGCTAATCGTCCTCAAAATAATAATAATAATAATAATTTGTAGCTCTTTAGAACCTTCATATATTATAGTTTATAAAAATCATAGTTATATGAAGATTTTTTTTTTTAAGATTGGCACCTGAGTTAACATCTGTTGCCAGTCTTCTTTTTTTTTTCTTCTTCTTCTTCTTCTCCCCAAAGCCCCCCAGTACATAGTTGTGTATTCTAGTTGTAGTTCCTTCTATTGTGCTATGTGGGACACTGCCTCAGTGTGGCTTGATGAGCAGTGCCATGTCTGCACCCAGGATCCAAACCAGCGAAACCCTGGGCTGCCAAAGCAGAGCATGCGAACTTAACCACTTGGCCACGCGGCCAGCCCTGTATTTGAAGATTTTTAACAACAAAACACAAACGTAATTTCATCATCTGAGTGGAAACTATGTGATAATCACAGCTACAGAGGTAGCTTTTTGGTTATATTTTTAAAGTTTGTAACATCAACATCTAGTTTAATGTCTAGCTATGAAATAGTGGAGAAATCTGAGTTTAAAGTAGATTTCAAATGCTTGTCACCATAATCGCTTAGCTCTTTTTACCGTAGAAATCTACTTATGTCTGATGCATCGTGATTCTTTATCCATTTTTAGTTTTCTCTAATATACAGGCTCTTTCAGAGCCAGGAATTAGGTTAGTACTGGATGTAATGTTTATAACAGCAAATGGAATTTTTAGGCACTACTCTAATAGCTGTGCAGTTAAAGGAAGTATACTCAGTAAACCAATAGCATTCGTGTCTGGTGAATCATCTTTATATTTATATACAAAAGGAATTGTTTTTGCTGTGTAGGTGAAGTTAGTTTTTATTAGAAACCTTATTAACCTGCCTTACATAATGCTTTTGTTTGTAGTGAGAAGGTGTAGACTTTAGAGCCAGACCAACCTGGATTCAAATCCTGTCTAGACTCCAGTATTAGCTCAGTGTTACTAGACTCTCTCTCTAAATCTTAATTTCTTCATCAATACAATGGTAATAATACTACCAGTAAGATGCTGCAATGACTGTTCTTGTATGAATAAATCTCTTTGTTCGTGTGAAAGTATTGCTGTGGACAGAGAGATGTACGGGCCAAAAGGCATGTGGCAGTTTAAATTTTGAACTTTGCCTTGGCTTATTATTCTGAATATTTATTATTGTACGTGTAGGCTATAGATGTCGAAGATCTAAGCAGATATTATGGACTAAATCCATACTAACCTGAAAGAAGTATGGTTCACCTTATTATCTTAATATTTTACTCTTTCTCCTAAAAAAAATGCTGGAAAATTACATTTAAGTTGTATGCTTATTATGATTGCATTTCTGTTTGAAACTTGCTACTTTTTTGTGAAGCACTATTTTCAGTGATAGACATCCTTGAAATTTATGAAAATGAAGAATGTGCTAATGAAATCCAGAATCCTAAAATATTGTTGTTTGTATGTCTTGCCTCATGTGCCGTGTTTGGACTGAATTTTCATTCTCATTCTTAACTAAGTCCACATTTAACACGTTAGACATTTTTAGGGTCAACTTTTACTATAGATAAATTGAATGTGACTTTAAAGAGCAATAAGGCTTATCTGGTCATTTTGAATTACAGAGGTTTAGGTAGGTAGTTGGTAGGCATGTTTTGATGGCATTCATCCGATAGCTTCTATATTTCTTTTAAAACTTAATATAGACTCTAATTTAATTGATGTTGGTTTTGACTAAGAGGTTTATTTTGGATCCGAAGCTCTTATCAATTTGTTAAAAAAAATTCTTGACTGTGTTACAAAAAATACTACGACAACTAGAGATAATGTAAACCATCCTCAATAGGGCCTGGCCCTTCTGGGGGTTCAGTAAGTGGCAAGTATTGTTTTATAGACATACTGATATTACTAAGTAGCACCGTGGAATTTATAGTGAATGTAGAACCTTGTGTGATGCATAGTACTTATTGGCTCCTCAAGAGGACTTCCTATTTGGACTCTGCTTATGATCCTGATTAAGTTTTAATACTTCTTTCTTATAGAATCCCAAGACAAAAGAGCAAATTGAAAATCTGATACGGAATGGGATGAACAAGGAGCTGCGAGATCGTCTTTGTTGCCGAATGACTTTCGGGACTGCAGGCCTTCGTTCTGCAATGGGGGCAGGATTTTGCTATATTAATGACCTTACAGTAATACAGTCAACACAGGTAAGTTTTATAAAGCATTATGTGTGCAGTTTTTATCACTCTATTTTTTTGCTTTATAAATTAGGTAGTACCTTTCTTAAAAAACAAAAAACCTTAATATCCAGGTACGTATTCTCTTGTATGTAAAAAATGTAGAATAAATTCTGATGTTTGGCCTTGCCCCAGATTTATATTAGAAGTCGTTTATGTATCTTCAAGGTCACAGATTCTGATTGAGTTATTTTGGTTGCCATTGTCAACTTTATGAGAATGTTACTTTGCATTTGAAACCAGGAAATGGATATTGACATTTCCGGTTAATACAAAGAAACAAATTTAGATAGAAAGATGATGATTACCCATTTTGGCATATGGCCATTGGTAAAGGTTAATCAGAGTATTTGGAAAATTTAGTTGAAAATATTTCCCTTTAACATAGTTTTCCGTTTCCATTTGAGAGTTAAGATAATGCGTAATATGATACAATTTGCTTTATTTCTCTTCAGTTTTATACAACTTACTCTAGAAATAAATTACTTCTCTTTCCAGTGAATCATCCTCACTGCTTCAAGAAACTGCACTTTCCTTGAAGGCCAAAATGCATTGAGCATATACTAAAAATAGTTCTAGACTAGAGATATATTCCATAGACTTAACTCTAATTGATACTGCCAAACAGTAAATCATCTTTAGCCTTGTTCTGAGGGAATTCTCTAAAGCCAAGCACTAATACAGGGATAGAGGAGAAAGGATGACAGGATGACTGAATGGGTGGGGTATATGCCACCTTCCCCATCCCCGTCCCCTTTCTGTTCCTCATCCAGAGATGCTTCAGTTCAGTTTTTCCTATATACTGGGTTTCCTCAGAAGCTTTCATTTTAAATGAGGATTCCTTGGCTTTACAAAAAGGGGTGGAGAGGTGTTCGAAAATCAATTTCTATAGAAGTGCACATTTTTACAGGAATTGAGATTGCATTGTGTAAAGTAGAAAAGCTGGATAGAATCTGATTCTTAAACTCTGGCCCTTTTCAGAGTCTAGAGATAGGGGGATAAGATGGATTTTCATACCAGAGGATAATATGAGGTTTTAGGATAGTATCATCAATTAGAAATAAATAAGTTGGTGAAACTGGCCAATTTGGGCTATATTAAGTGATGTGTGAACATACATGTGAACATACATGCATGCACGTGCGCGCACACGTACAATCAGTGATAGGGAGTAGGTTGGGAAGAATAATTATACTTGAGAGAGCTATGGAAGAAGGGTCCAGAAGTCGGTGAGGCTTCATTTGGTGCTGCCACATAGTTATTTAGTGTGCCTGCTGTATAGTAGGTCTTCAATAATCAGTATAACTTAGTTTTAGCTGAATGAGTGGCCTTGGACAAGTCATTAAATGGAGCTTCAATCTTATTCTGCCTTCTGTTTTTTTTTGAAGAGATGTTGAAAGACAGAGACAAAAATAGAAACGGTATCTGCATTTCTTTCTTTTCAGGATTATTGTAAGGATTAAACGTGGCAACATTTGTCAAAGTAGTTTTGAAGGATTGTAACAATATGAAGTGTTATTTTTAGAGATGAAAACATTTATTAAATTAGCAAATCACTCGTAAGATAGTTTTAGCTTATCATTGTGATGTTTTCAATGTTAAATGCTTCATTTAATGTTTTTTCTCACCCTTCAACTGCAAGTTTTCCTAGTTTATGAGATTTTTCTTTCTGTGAGATTTTAAAACTAAGGAATTACGAATGGGATCAGCCATCTTAAGAAATGTTCTAATGAGGGTTTATGTTGCTGATTAAAAATGTTTTTGTCATAAATAGGTCAAATCTCTTGGTTAGCTTCAACCTTATGATTTACCAAGATCTAAAATGGTCAACAGTCTGTTCTCTAGAGCCTTAAGGCAAGAAATAATTTCTTTTGGCTCTTCTAACCATTTTTTTAGCATACTGACTCTCATGTCTCATCTTTTTTCCCCTAATGTTTTATGTATTGTATTAGATTTAACAGGTAATTAATATTTCTGTGGTATTAAATGTGTCTGAAATGCCAGGAAATAGATGTTTGTCATCTCACATTTGAGATTTGAACAGCATTGTTCCCACATTGGTAAACATGGGCGAAAAGGCAGAAGCTGCTTCCCCAGGAGCCAGTAAGCTACACACGACATGTAAAAATAATAGATTTTTAGTCTAGACAAGTCAGGCATTCATCAGGAGCTAATCTTTGGTCTTTTTCTGCTTCAGGGGATGTATAAATACCTGGAGAGATGTTTCTCAGACTTCAAGCAGAGAGGCTGTGTCGTTGGGTACGACACACGCGGCCAGGTAACCAGCAGCTGCAGCAGCCAGAGGTACCGTGTTCATTGCTTCAGAGATTCATTTGGGTTGGAATATCACCTTCAAAAAGGTGGTCTTTTTTTTTGGCCAATAGTAGGATTTCTGAAACAGGAAACTGTCAAATAGAAATGTGATCACATGCTAATAATGTTTATTTTAGAGCTGAAATAGAAATATTTCTAAGATAAGCTTTACAGAAAGGAATAAAATTTTAAAGTATTTCAAGTTAGTGTTTTGAATGACATCATATCTTATGTTGTGATTTTAATATTTTATCGAAGGCAGTGGGTAGGAGAAATTATGTAGCTGGTATTCTCTTATTATAGTCCCGTAGGGTATTTTCACACATAGATAATCATGATATAGTGACTCTTTTTTTCAGGGTGTAATTATGCCTATTGTGTTTATCAAAGTCTCTTATTTCACTTTCCTCTGTTCTTTTTGCCTTTTGCAGGTTTTATTTCTTAGTAAAAAGCTACCAAAAGATGAATGAGGAAAAAGGAAGAAATTAAAATGTCAATTCTGTTCATTGTTAAGCTCCTTTTTAAAAAAATTTTATTTAACATTTTTAAGTTGGAGCATGAAGCTTGAATAAGCAGTAATGATAGGAATTGGTTATATTAAGCTACTATATATTCAGAATAATTGTAATGTGAAATATTCATTTTGTGGTAGGTTGGTTTTTAAAAAGTATAATAAGCTAAGGACTAAGTGAAATCTCCATCTTTTTTTAAGGCTTGCTGAACTCACTGCTGCAGTCTTACTGGCCAAAGATGTTCCTGTGTACCTTTTTTCAAGATATGTTCCTACTCCTTTTGTAGTAAGTGTGTTGTGGTGGTAATCGTATAGTTTGCTCCTCTCAAAAAGATTTCTTAAATCAACCAGGATTCAAATGTTTGTCATGCATGTAGTTCTCTATTAAGTAATATGAGGGACCAAAGGAAAGCAAATTGTGCTCTGAGTTTATTTTCATTCAGTGAGCGTGTGTCGAACACCTGAGAGTTTGATCAAGTTAGCAAGTCCGCAGTCATGGTGGGATGTTTTGATACTCTTCTTTCAGAAACTGATTTACCAGACAGGCAAAAATGATTTAGGATAGATTTGAACACGCTATTAGCGTGCTTGATCTGCTGTGTGTGTGTGTAACAACCCTGTATTCAGTGATGTAGGATAGTCCTTCTTATCAAGCAGGGTCACAACGGAAATCTCAACAAAAACCAGAGAATTGCTTATCAAATCTTAGCCCTGGACCCCAGTGCAATAAGATTTGAAATAAACCCACAAAAGCCCGTATGTTTGGAATTTTTAAAACACATTTATAAATAATTTATGGATTAAGGAAGATACCGTAATGAAGATTAGAAACTACAGGCAGTCCTTGCTGTGCATGATAGAGTAGGACTGTGAAGATAACTATGTAAGCTAAAACCGTGCAAAGCATCTTAATAATCAATGGGAAAAATTATGATTGTCTGGGACTTTTAAAGTTTTGGTTAAAAATGTATAGGGAAAAGAAAAAAGTCGTGAAACTAATATTTATATAAGTATGCTATAATTTAAACCATTAGAAACATTGAGAACTAAAGTGTTTATTTCTTAGTAAAAAATTTATCAAGAGTACAAACAGTGCTTGCTTCTTGTCATATAATCAATACGAGTGAGCATCTTTTCTGTGTCTTGGCACATCGTCACACTCCTTTCTAAGTTTGGATCAGCTTCCAACATATTATCCTTTGTGCTTTCAATGTTGTGGAATTCCTCTTCAATTCTGTGAGAATCCTTTTTTTTGGAAATCTCTGAGAATTCCTTTTTTTGACAGTGTCACTTCCTCTGGAATACCTTCATCCTTTTCATCACAACCACATCCCTCATTTGTGTCCATGAATTTGCCCTCACTAAGCTCATCAGGTTACACATCTCGAGTCACTTGAATGACGGCAGCGTCAACATTCTCAGCTATTATTCTATGACTCCGTTTATGTTTGATTCAAATTTCACTTCCACCATTATCACTTTCTCTTTCTTTGCTACACTTTCGTCTTTGTTGGCCAGTTCCTTCTTTCAATTATCCATTTTTGCAAACTGTCACATGGGTTTATCACTGGGAGAGAAGGAGGCAACACAACTACGTTCTTTGCTGTCTGTTGGAGAACTGAATAACAGATGTACAGTGACCAATCACTGACAGACTTTAACAGAGCAACATGATTGGTCACTGATCGTGATGGATCTCTTATGTACACAGTTATTTTGGACTGAAGAGCTAGCAGCCAGGTTTGTACTTGATTCAGTACAAACTTGGTTCAGCTAATCACAGTTAATATAGCACAGTAACTGAAAGTTGAACGTGTTGGGAGACTAGTATCATTCAACTAAAATATAGTATTGGAAATTCATGTATTTTGGAACTGAGCAAAGTATGGACTGCCTGTATTTAAAACTGAACAACAATGAAAACAAATAGCAAAAATTATGGGATGTAACTAAAGCCATACTTAAAGGGAAGTTTATAGTCTTAATGAATATATTGGGGAAAAAAGATTTTAAAATAATGAGCTCAGCCTTTAACTTAGTATGTTAGAACTAAAACAATAAATCCAAATAAAGTAAAATGAAGGAAATAACAAAGATATGAGGAAAAACCAATTAAATAGAAAATAAAGAAAAGAGAGTATCAACAAAAGCAAAAGTTGGCTCTCTGAAGAGACAAAATAGACAAATCTTTGGCAGTGGTGCTCAAGAAAAAAGGAGAAGACAGAGAAATTAAAAGGGTGCATAATAAATACAGTAGAGATTAAGAAAACCACAATATTCTGAACAACATGATACAAATAAATGTGAAAGCTTAGATGAACTGGCCAATTTCCTAGAATAATTGATACATCAAAACTGATAAGAAATAGAAAACCTGAATAGACCTATAACCGCAAAAGAAAGTGAACTGATGTTTAAAAAATCTTCTCAAATTAAACATGCCAGATCCAGATGATTTTATAGGCAAATTTTATCAAATGTTTGAGGAATAGATAATGTCTCTATAAACTATTCCTATTGGTTTATTGGAAATATAGTGAGTGGCTCAGAGAATTGAAGGAATTGCTAAACAGTTAACTCTTATGAATGACAGAAACCAGGGAGGGTTCAGAAATTTAGGACATTTTTGTAGGATTCTGCCACTAGCTTGTCAGTTCCAGCTACCATCAATCCCGGTGTATTGACATTCCTCTCCTATTGCAGGTAGGTTTGCTCTAGCTGGTAGGGAAGTCCCAGATTCACACCCCTTATCACCATGACTTCAAGTCAAAAAAGCAGTCTTCCTTCACTACCTGCAGGAGAAACGTCTTGGAGAAGGACTGTGACCAGGCTTAGGTTATGAGCCAGTCTCTGAATTAAATCATCAAGGGACTAGATTACTCTGATCAGGCCTGGGTCATGTGTCCATCTCTGCATGGCCAGGAGGAGAGAATTCGGATATGATGGTAGGAGTAGGGGGAACATCCTACACAGACAAGTAATAACTACTGCAGAGAAAAAGGGAAATCCAACCTGGCAATTAACTTTAGGGCAGAAGATGGTGAATTGACATTTGTATGGTATAGAGGCCACAGAGCATATATAAAGATCTTCAAATTGGAAGGCAAGAGACCTATGTTCTACACTTGAATTTTCTCCCTTATGAGTGTATAGTGTTGGATAAACCTCAATGTATGATGTGCTGGATTAGATCATTTCTAAATTTAGTTCCAGCTCTAACATTTTATGATTATATTCACCACTCGTATCTCCAGAGTCTGCCGGAGTGTCTGGCATATAGTAGGTATTTGTTAAATGAACAAAATAATAAGAGATGTTTATAGGACTAAGTTAAATGAGAATTTGGGGGTGGGGGGAGCCATTCAATCTGACAGGTGTTTATTGGTGACCTTTTAGAAATGGGCCCCAACCAGTGAACCTAGAGTTGATTGTTGAGGTTTTAGGCTGTTTATATCTTAATGTCTGGTATTTAATCAGAGATATTCTCATGTTAAATGTATGAGTAGCTAGGAAACAAAATGGAATTACGGTGTTACTGTCTTTTCAGCCATATGCAGTCCAGGAGCTCAGAGCAGTTGCAGGTGTGATGATTACTGCATCTCACAACCGCAAAGAAGACAACGGATATAAGGTAAACCCTGGACTCCTGACCTTTGCTTATTTCATAGTTCTTATTTTATTTAAATAATATGTGCTGAGTATATTTTCTACACTGGGGAGCAGGGCTAGACATATCAGAAAGATAAAAACATTGAGGCCAGCCCTCAAAGAATGGGTATCCCTCATGGCCTCATTACTTCTCAACATGTACTATCACAAAAGTATCTTCATTGGTCTTTTTACTTCTCACATCTTACTGCCTTTGATTTTCCCATCCTATCCCAAATCTATCCTCTCTGCCATTTCAGAAATAAAGTCATATTGTACCAAGAACTTGAAGAATGAATAGGAATTTGCAGGAAGAGAGCCAGAGGAATAGTACCTTGACCTCGTTCTCCTCTCCCTCCAACCTGCTACCGGGGCTCCCCACTGGCCACAGGATCTATTTCCTGTGTCAGCCTCTGTGGCAGAAAGCAGGGTGGAGAAAGGTGAAGAGTGGCTCTGAAGGGGCAAACAGAAGAAACAGCTCAGTATTGAGCCAGTGTTTGGGGCTCCTGGGTGATGAGTCCATGATCTTATATTTGTTTTTCATCTTGTGTGGGAGATCTCCAGGTACACTGAGCTCTGTTTTACTGAGAAAAAGAAGATTTAATACTAATCTAAGATTTTGGCCCTGGCCAGCTAAGTGGATAGTGTTACCATTCAGAGAGGCAGGGAAGAAGCATGATTAATTCAGTTTTGGACATACTAAGTTTGAGATATTTGTGGGTCAACCAGGTAGCAATGTCCTGTAGGCAGTTGCATATATAGATCTGTTGCTCAGGGGAGAAATCTGGGCTGGAGTCATAGATTTTGGGGTCACCATACATATTAAAGCATATAAGAATATTTGGAAGTCCTTTATTTGGACGAGCAGCCCAGAGACAGTGTATAGTAGAAAAACAAGTACAAAAGGGATCAACTTTAAGGGAAGGGAGAAAGAAGTGCTGGAGCTAGGAAAAAGACCAGAAGAGATTGGTGTCATAAAAACCAATGGATAAGAAAGTCGCAAGGATGGAGCAGTCAACTGTCAAAAAGAGCTAAGAACTCAAATCTCTCTCTGAGCATCAGACTCCTATATCTAGCTACCTACTCGATATCCACTGGGACGTCTGAAAGCCATTTCAAAATTAGTGTCTCCAGAACAGAGGTCTTAATCCCCCCGACAGCCTGCCACAGACACACCCAAATGTGTTCCTCCCCATTTCTTCCCCCTCTGTAAATTGAAGCTACCACCCAGCCAAAACCCAAAAATCATTCTTGATTACTCCTTTTCCTTCACTCCTAACATTTAATCTACTAACAGGGTCTACAAATTCTACATCTAAAATATATGTTGAATATATTTACTTCTGCCCATATCTTCTAGCTCCGCCATCCTGAAGCATTATTGTCTTCTGTTTGAACTACAGCATCCTAGCTGGTCTCTTTCCTGTGTCCATTGTTCTCCCCTGCAGTCCATTCTCCAGAAAGCAACCAAATGATCTTTTAAAATATGAACAGGTCATGTTACTTTTCTGCTTCAGATTCTTCAGTGCCTTCTCATTCTTCGAATAAAATCCAAACTCCTTACCTTGGGGCTTACAGGACTCTGTCTCCTGCCTACCTTTTCAACCTTGTTTCATTCATTCCTCTCCTGTGCTCACTATGTTGCAGGCACACTGCCACTCCTCTCTGTTCTTCCAGTTCTTCCAGTGTACCAAGCCCTTTCCCACCTCTGAGCTTTTGTAATTGTTTTTTCCTCTGCTTGGATTGCTGTTTCCCAAATCTTGCAGACTTGCTTATTTTCATCCTTCAGGTTTCTGCCCAGATGTTCCTTCTTTGGAGAGACATTTCTGGCCACCTTATCTGAAGTGGCTTCCCTCAGTGACCTTCTCATCTTGTTTATTTCCTTCACAGAACTTATCACTCTCTCTAATTATCTGCTTTCTTTATCATGAATTAGCTTGTTTGTTTATTGACTGTTTGACCCTCCCCACCCCATTCCCACTATAAGCTTATGGGTGGAGGGACTTAGTCTGTTTTGATATTCATTGCTGTTGAACGTATATTTGTCACATAATAGATGGTCAAAGATTTTTTTTCTTGAAATGTAAGCACAACATAAAAAGTATGAAAGTTAGGGCCGGCCTGGTGGCGCAGCAGTTAAGTTTGCATGTTCCGCTTCTTGGCGGCCCAGGGTTCGCCGATTAGGATCCCAGGTGCAGACATGGCACCACTTGGCAAAAGCCATGCTATGGTAGGCATCCCACATATAAAGTAGAGGAAGATGGGCATGGATGTTAGCTCAGGGCCAGTCTTCCTCAAAAAAAAAAAAAAAAGTTAAACAATGTAAAAAGTTAACAATAAATAATATCTTTCCGGCCAGCCCAGTTGGCCTAGTGGTTAAGTTCATCTCGCTCTGCTTTGGTGGCCTGGGTTCAGTCCCCAGGCATGGACCTACACTACTCGTCTGTCAGTGGCCGTGCTGTGGTGGTGGCCCACATACCAAAAGAGCAAGATTGGAACAGATGTTAGCTCAGGGCAAATCTTCCTCAGCAAAAAAAAGTCTTTCTCCCGTCCTTTTCCTCTAGTGCTCCTCTTCAGAAGCAAATATTGTTTCTGGTTTTAGTTTCCTTCCAGAGATAGTCTATGCATGTGGAATCATATATGTGTTTGTCACCCCCTCATTTTTTTCCCATAAGTGGTAGGGCACCATATACAGTGTTCTGCACCTTGCTTTTTTCACGTAACAGCATGAAACAGTCTTAAAGATCATTCTCTCGACTGATTGATTGATAGGTCTGCCTTACTCACCTTAAAAACCTATATAGATAAATCCTAATTTATTTAACCGATCTTCTGTTGATGAACATTACATTTCTTTCTGATCTTCTGCTACCTATAAACAGTGCCACAGTGAATGTTCTTCTACGTATATCTTTGTTCATATGTGCAAGTAGATTTATAGAGTCAGTATAGAATAGTGGTTAAGACTGTAAGTTGGGTTTGAAACCTACCTTTGCCGCTCAGAAGCTTTGTGACCTCAGACAAGTTATTTAATTTCTGTGTGCTTTAGTTCCCCATCTGCAAACTGGGGATAATAGTAGAACCAATATAGGGTGAGAGTGAGGACTAAGGAAGACACTGCATGTAAAATGTCTAGTGTAGTGTCTGGCTCCAATAAATGCTCAATAAATGTTAATTGTTGTTTTCATTCTTATCACCTATAGCTGAACTGTCCAATATGGTAGCCACTATGGCAGTAAGGACCTATGGCTATTCAACATTTGAAATATGACTAATCTGAATTAAGATGTGCTGTAAGTGTAAAGTACACACCAGATTCAAAGACTTAGTACAAAAGAAGAGTGAAACAATTTGATAATTTTGTATTCAATGCATGTTGGAATGATATTTTGGATATATTGGGTTATATAAAGTGTATTACAGTTAATTTCACCTATTTCTTTTATCTTTTTTTAGTGTGACTACTAGAAAATTTTAAATTACATAAGTGGCTTGCATTGTATTTCTATGGCACTGCTAATCTATAGGATAAATTTCCAGAAGTGAAATTTCTGAGTCAAAGGGAATATGAAAGAAAATTTGTCATTCTCTATTCAAGGTGGTTATACCAATTGATACTCTCACCAGCAATGTATGAGGGTCTTTATCCCACACCTTCCATTATTGTGTTATCAAACATTTTGATCTTTGCCAATCAGATAGGTGGAATGTTATGTTTAATCTGCACCTGTCTTCTAAGTGAGGTTGAGCATCTTTTCATGCACTTACAAGATACTTGTGTTCCGTTTCCTGAAAAGTCTGTTAAAGGTGTTGCCCATTTTTCTCTTGGGTTGTTGATCTATTTCTTACTGATTTGTGGGAACTTTTATGTGTAAAAAGTAGTTCATGCTCCCCCCATACTATCATTTGCCTTTTGACTTTATTTATGATATTTTTCCATGCAGAGTATTATGGAATTTTTCCATTTTGAAAAAAAGTTATTTTGACATTTTTATTGGTATCATATTTCATTTGTAGATTAATTTAGGAAGCTTCAATATTTTTATTTATTTATTTATTTTAAGATGAGCCCTCAGCTAACATCCACTGCCAATCCTCCTCTTTTTGCTGAGGAAGGTTGGCCCTGAACGAACATCTGTGCCCATCTTCCTCTACTTTATATGTGGGACGCCTGCCACAGCATGGCTTGAGAGCAGTGCATAGGTCTTCACTCAGGATCCGAACCAGCAAACCCTGGGCCACCAAAGCGGAGTGTGCGAACTTAACTGCTACAGCACTAGGCTGGCCCCAGGAAGCTTCAATATTTTTATAATATTATTGATGCTTCTTATTCATGAACAGGATGTAGCTTTCTCTTCTTTCAAGACTTCTTTTAGATCCTTAGTAACATTTTAAAGATTCTTTTAAATAGATCTTTCACGTTTCTTTTAAAGTTTGTTCCTGGGTATCTTTTCTTGCATGGATTTTTCTGCTACTATATCAGGTTGGGATACATTCTGCTGCAGGTTTAGAAAACTCATAAAAATGCCTTCAGCTGATAGGAGTTTATTTTTCTCACATAACAAAAACTCCAGAGGTGGGTGGCGGCTAGCATGGTTCTGTAGCTCAGTGTTGTTGGGTGTGGCATCTCTGCAGTTCTTTTGGCCCTTTCTGCCAACGTGGCCATCATATAATAGTTGCTGTACCTCTAGGTAGCACGTCCACATACAAGGCAAGAAGAAGTGGGCAGGGGAAAAGGCCAGGATGTTTTCCTCATGTTTTATAAATTTTTACAGAAAGCTTTCAGGGCCTATGAATAGAATCTTTTCTGTGCCTTGGAATGTGGGGGCCTCCCTTCAGAGCAGTTTTTGCTGTTTTAATCTCTGCGGGAACCTCAGGAGTTTCATTGACTGGGAGCAATTTCTGTGTTAATTTAGACCTCAGATTTGAATTTTTTTTAATAACCCAGAACCCAAGAAGAAACAGACATGCTTCCACATCATC